CGACATATAGTCCCCAACCCATTTCGATGCACCCATTTGTCTGACACGTCATGCGCATGCATTGTACGCAACCACGCTCGACTTCATTTCTTCCACGCGCGCTGGCTACTTCGAACGTTTATGTCGTTTTTTCCACATACAACTTATATGCAATTTGTTTCCAAGGTTTATTGAAGTTTTCTTATACTATGGGTATTTTGTTAAAGCCCATGTTCTTTGCAATATCCTCTGTGTGTTTCGATTGGTTTTGTAAGTCGAATCTGTACGAGAACAGTACTTTGTACGCATGAAACCACAAAATTATGTTGTTAGGGCCCGCGTATGTCAGCGGGATCCTCCCGAATCCTCGCAAAGCGAGTTCCACAGAAGGTGGGTTCTCAAATCTGTATCTTAAACTCAGCGCGTTGAACTCTTCTATTGCAGATCTGCGAGGTAACGGAAGATGTGCAAGATTGGGAGAACCATCTCATTTTGCGAGTTCCAAATGATGTTGCAGGCCGGGTGGGTGTTCGAGTTATTTTTGAATCATTTTTCTCTTTTGTTCTCCTTTTTCAAGCCTATTTGACAGGGTGTTGTGCGGTTCCAGATCTGCTTTCAGAATCGGATTTTTACCGGAATTTTTCTCCAGTACATCTTATAACACGTTTTCATATTATTCGCATTCAGGTGGATGCGATGCTTGCTGAAAGCCAGAATAAAGAAATAGATGACTTAGCTGTCCAGTTCACTTCTACAGACATGAGACACGCCAATGTACGACTTGGAACACATATTATGAGTGCAAAAATCTATGATCTACCTTGTATCACCGAGGTCAGTAACTTTTAGCCTGATTTTTTGATTTGCTTTCATTGTATCTCAGTCATAGTTTTGTTCAGGTCACCAAAACCCTTGACAAGAAAACGCTGTACAAAGTTGCTGATCTGTCCCAGATTGTTGTGTGTAGCCATGATTTATCAGTCGATCCTGCTGAATCACAAATAAAGCCAGGGAGTAAGAAGGTATGTCGGAATGTCAATCTACATCTGTCGTGAATATTTTCTTTTCTATTATTAGGTTGTCCCAAAAGTGGACTCCTCTAAATAAATCGAAGTTTATTTATTAAGCTACAAGACTTAACATATTATTGGATAGAGAAAAGCAAGCTCTACAAGATGGCATTCAGACATTTGCAAAAAGTTTCACCTTGCGGAGTTCGAGGTCAAAATCTAAAAATTTCCAAACGCCAGAAAATTGAAATTTTGTCCAAAACTACTCCACAAACCTCTAAATTCGTCGATTTATAGTAAACGCACTGCCATACACAAAAAAGCACTTTCCGAATTTTTTCCACACTTAAAAATCAAGAAAAAACGAAAATCGAATAATTACAAACTCCGCCCCATCGATGGCAGGCTCCTCCCACACATGTGGTTGTAT